TATGTACATAATTATACACAAAAAGGCTGGTAAAGGACTGGTCTATTTGATAAAAATAATTATTTTATTCATCTCTTCAAACAGTTCAATGATGTAACATACATTCAGAATATGTATTTAGGAAAAGTGCTACCACATATGTACTGATAAATATTCACAATAATAAGTGTCCATACATATTCAACAGTCACTGTTAGTATGAAACAGTATCGCTGAACCCCGATCTTTATACATTCTCTTTTTTCTTCGATTTTTACACGTTTCTGTACATTGGAATTATCATCATGTATGTAGATTATTAGTAGTTAGACATTTGCGCATCAGTCAACGTACGAGCGTAATTAGAACGTGACAACGACAATTGAAAATGGTAATTAAAATTTTTCTTTATCTCAAGTGAATACCTTTGGAAATACATACATACATACATACGTACGTACGTTCGTATATACATACTATAATTCAACGTAGGGACATTTTTATACGAAGCAAAGTTATTCAGGGTTCGATTATGGCACGAATACGGCTTTTTCACTGTTTTACGTCGTCAGCTCTACAGGGTGTCCCAGGTTTTAATGTTTATATTTTGTCGGTACATGTATAGCTGTTGCTCCGAACATTTTCACGAATAGATCTATGTATTTACTACTTGACATTGCACAGTGGTCGGTTTCCATACAAAAAGCTTAAAAAAACGTAACAACTAAAATTATATATTTAAGCTTTTCATTTTTTATGTTACTAGTACATATATTTGGATTTTTGTTTGGATTTGAATTAAATTCAATGAAATTAAATTGAACATCCTCTCTATTTTCATGTTGCGAATATTGTTCCGAAATCAGTAGTTCGAATTGTTTCTTTGAGAAATGGTTTCGATTTCTTGGTCGTTCTTTTCCTCATACTTGACATGAGTGGGTCGGATGTGAACAAAAGTCTGCATATAATAAAAAAAAATTTATAATTATTCTTATTAGTTTCAATAGAGTGCGAACAGTTGAAATATTGATATTTTAATCAACCTATTTAAAACATCTCGCGTAACCACAGATGTCACGGTATGCTTCGCGGTATATGCCATTTTGGCATTATTATTTTTTCATTTCTCCAATAAATAGCAGCTTATAGTAGCCAATATTTATTTTATTATTAATATAAGGCATCGCTCTTCAAAATGCGATCAAAGCGAACACTGAACTCCACCGAACTCATAACTAAAAAAATGAAATGAAAATTCAACATATTCAATTGAACGTAACTCAAAAAATGTGGAAGATAAAAAAGTGTCCTGTGACATAATTTAAGTATATACTAAGTAACATTAAATTCTGTAAAAATTATTTATTTTCAAAGAACAAAATAATTGTAAACGATGATATAAGTTTAGGATGATTTGGAGGTGGGCTACTTTGAAGCCATGTAACCCTGTTCAAAATGAACAAATGGTAACAAAAATCATAGTAAATAAGCCACATGTTTAATCGGCTACTAGTGAATAAATTATGCATTATAGGGGTATTTTTTTAAATTGATTTTTTCCCTTTTTTTCTATGGAAACCGATCACTGTGCATCGTCACATTCACTACTAATAGCTATTACTGCCGAAAATTAGTTTAAAAATCTTAGAGGATCTCAGTAATTACTATTCCACTCGTATTCCGTATTTTTGTTATAACTTTTTAATAAAGCTCTGGATGACCTATGTCTACATAACATTATTTTCTTACTTAGTGCCATAGAATATGTAATATGTAACGGAGAAATTTTGAACATTAAAATCTGGGATACCCTGTATATTAAATTTCTATAAAAAATCTGTTACTAGGATTTTTCGAATACAAAATGGTTCAATTAATATTTCGCAATGTAAATTTTAACTTTCTAGTTTCAGTTCCATTATTGGTGAACGTCCATCAGCAGTGATGGCAATTGATGTCTGCAGTAAGCAGGAAGATCTTCCAGATGTTTGTACAGACATTATAGAGTGAGTCATCTTAACATTTTCACTTAAAATATCTTCATTGCTTTGAACCGTTTGACTGCGGAATGCTCTTCAATTGAGCCATCACTGACGATTCAATATCTTTTCGCGTAGTGTGGACTCCGTTGGCACATGGATAGTATTTCTCGAGAAAAACGTAAATTTAATGCACCGAAACTTTCTAAGGCTACTTTATAGGGTGTTTCACAATTTATGGTACAAATTAGGTCAGGTGGATCCCATTAACCCCTTGCAGCACACTAAACGAGTCTAACTCGTAATTGAGATTTCTAGTAAGAACCTATTAAGTATGAATATTATTTCGTTCTTTATAATCTGAATAAAATCCTGATTTCTTGTTCTTGGAATGCAATTGCTTGATTGGTTGGCATGAATGAATTTGAGATCGATAAGTTGGTATGAATGTCGAAAGAGTGCTTGACACGTGATTGTTTCTCCGGGCACTTCCACAAAAAATTGTCGAGCGTACGAGTGTAGCGAAGGAAGTATTGGGTTGGCAACTAAGTAATTGCCGATTTGTTCAATGAAATAAAAAATTTTTTTTTACTTGGAATGAAGTTCAATCTGTAATGTGTTTTCCATTTTGTTCGATGACCTTTTGCCATCTTTCTGACAACTTGAAAATTTCACGCTCGTCGAAAGTCTGATCCTTTTCGGCCAAAAACTGAGTTAAGTGAGATTTTACAGCGTCATCATCATTCAAAGTTTCACCACGAAGGGAGTTGTCCAGGGATCGAAATAAGTGGTAATCCGATGGTGCGAGATCAGGGCAATATGGTGGGTGTAACATCAATTCCCAACCAATATCCATCAATTTTTGCCGAGTGGACAAAGACGTGTGCGGCCTAGCATTGTCCTGCTGGAAAATGACACCTTTACGATTGACCAATTCTGGTCGCTTTTCCTTGACCGCTGCATTCAATTTGTCCAGTTGCTAACATTCACGGATAATAAAAAATAACATAATAATAATAATAATAATTTTATAATATAACATTTACGGATATCATAAAAATGGGAGTGAGAGACATCTATAACTGAAATCGGCAATTACTTAGTTGCCAACCCAATAGCTTCGAAAATGGCTTTAACTCCTCGCCTTACGATTTACCTTCAAAGAAACATGCGAATGCAGACAGTTTAACGCGATCAAAAATTACTTATATCTTAAAACGACAGCAGAAGAGAAGTAAACATTTGATTGGCATCAGTTTTTATGACTCACTTAACAATGCTACGAACTATAAAAAAAGCAGTGTTAATTTTGTTTTAAATGCAGTTTATTTAGTTTTGAATCTGAATTTCTTTTTTTTTAAGATGACACGACGGTGTGCAGGATTCCTGCCAAACGGAATTACCTGCAGCAAAAATTCAAAAAGTGCTTCAAACTAGAGCATATTCTCTAGGCATTGACGAGTGAACATTTTTATTTTTGTGAAAATTGTAGAAACGGTAGTTATTTGTATCTGAATTACCGAATGTGCACAAAAATTTTTTACGTTTCCGAAATGATTGAAAGTTAACAAAAAATCGATCGTCGATCCCTGGTGCACGTTATAGTAAAGGTAACTGCGAAATTTCAAAGTAATCGGTTGATCGGATCT